TTAACTCAAGCCGAATCTAGGAGTTCACCAACTTCCCTTACATAAGAACTCCACACTCTTTAGTGGTTTCTTGATACTCCAGGCCAAGGTTGCCAACCCACTCGGTTGCACCTTCACACCTAGAACAGATTTTTCACACACAACTACCTCACTTTTACAACACCAAACAGAATTTTCAGATTTATTACACACAAAAAATAGAAAATACAGTGTCCTATCACACTTGATTTATCAATTAAGGCACAAAATCAAGCTCCAAGATTATAAGGTATATGTAGAAAATTAGAACACAAATATTTGTTTCGCAATCTCTAAATTTTTAGAAACAAGGAACTTGAATATCACAAAATTTAGCCTCTAATCAATGGACAACAAGAAATCTGATTTTTAAACGGAATATATCACCAAATAAGCAGAAAAGTCATATTTGTAATTCTAACAAAATATCTCAAAATCAATGAACAATTCAATATTAGACTTCTAAACAATGAAACACATGAAAATCTGAATTAAACATTATATGGAAAAATGTAAACACAAATTCAGATTTGTGATCTTTAATCAATCTTTTAAAAAAATTCGAACAATTCTAGATTAATCTTCTACACAATGAACCACAAGCAAATCTGAATTAAACACAATATGCCTCAATGAAAACAAAAATTCAGATCTAAGATCCTCAACCAAAATTCTTCAAAATTTCAGAATACAGGGTTCAAACAAAATATTAAACAAGAATACAATTTGATTAGAGTTTACAACAATGACGATTCACAAGAATGCAATTAGTCTTATTTCCACATGAATCCAGAATTTCAGCAACCAAGAAACGGAGAAATATAGGTTCTAGTTGAGTTTTAACTCCAAAACAAATGCTTCCAATTTCCCAATCTTGAAGAACAAATAATAGGGTTCCAATTCTCACCACCAGACATCAAAATCGTTAGGGTTTAAAGATAACGATTTGGAGTTTTCTTGGAGAAGGATGAACAGAGCAATTGAAAACTTACTCACACACTCTAGAATCTAATACTCATGAAGCTAGGGCAAATTAGTTTGGAAGATGAAGATGATTCTTGAACCTTTGATTTTTGGGAATTCTAGAGAGAGAAGTTCTTCTTCTTCGTAGAGAGAGATAGATTTCAAGTTATGAAGATAAAATAGAGGCAATGTGTTTAAAAGACAAGTTTGGCATTTGCTCGATGTTTTGCTCGCTACATCAAGCATTTTATCGAGCTAAATTTGTCAGCTAGATGGTTTGCTCGCTAGATCGAGCGTTTCATCGAGCCACAACTGAAATTCATAAAACTTCAAATTTTCAACCTTTTAAAACCAACTTTGACAAATCAATTTTCAATGCATATTTATCAAACTTTAAATCAAAATTTTCACATTCAAATGCAAAAATATGTAAGATGCATGATATGCATTGGAGTTTGATATGTTAATTAATGATATATCTAAAGTGTTACAATCAATCTAACCAAATAAGTTGCTTTATCTTCAATTTGAGTCCTTCATTAGACTTTGACATATTCAAAACAATTATGTAGGAGGTCCTTCAACTAACTCATTGAACTAGTCTAAAACTATAAAGTTCTATGGTCTCATCAAAAGTATTCCAGACTCTATTTTACCTTTGCTAGATTTTACCCTGAATTATTGGAATCACTGTACATTCAAATATGCATGACCCGACCCGTTAAAAGAAATCTGATTAGGTCACTGTTTTTACTAGATAAAAACTGACTGAGTCGAATAAATTCTTACCAAATCTATTGAAGGGTTGATTTGTTGTCTCATTATTACCATTGATCGGTCCAGTCAAAACTTGTTTAATCTCTTTTTATCCCTCCATCCGCATTTCATGCTTTTATTTCGTAAGCTTAATCAATTATGATCGTCCGATGTGATTCTCCGGTTAAATCTTGCTATTAGAATATTAATTTTGAAAAGAAATTTTACAATATTTTTTTATAAAGTTTTTAACATATTTTTATTACTAAATTAAGTTTATTTTGGCTTTATCAGAATACATTTAAATTTTTCAATAAATTTCACATAAAATCTATTTATTAATAAATATAGAATGTGTTATAAACATATTGAAAAAAAATATCTTAATAGCATTTCTTCAATATTGAATTTCTTTGTATTTTTTAATGTTAATTTTGTTCTTACATAAAATTTATAGTTTCCTTCTTCATGCCTATTACTTTTTATAATATATTTTTCTCATAAAAGAAAATATGAAAAAATAATAGTCAGATAAAAGTTACCATTTTTTATTTTGGATGTGAGTTATCACTTGTCTGAATAATTAAATAATTAATATTTAAATTAATTAACTTGAAATTTCCCTGAACATACTTTAACTATCGTAATTTCCTTCAATATAAATAAAGGATAGTATAACTGTTTATAAAAAAAGGAGAGTATAACTAAATATTTGATGATTAAATGTGTTATTAAACCTAGCTCGATCTGGTCGGATTGACTAAAAAATCGGTAAATAGATGATTTAATAGGTTTGAGTTAGCTAATAGACCAACCATGCAATCTACCTGGTGATAACTGATTTGACTCGAACGGTTTTTGACAAAATTGATGACCAGTCGATTTTTTTTAACTAAATTCGATCATAATATTTTTTTAAAAAAATTAAAGTAAAATGATGTCATTTTTTAAGAAATGACCAAATGCAAAATCTCTACGTTGAGTGCATCATTTTGAATTCACTTATACACATGTCAATCACACAAAAAAACAAAACACAATTAAACATTTAAACTTAAGAAGAGTGAAATTGAAATGAAAAGTGAAAATGCTAAGAAAGTTGGATTAAAATTCGAAAGCATATGAGATAGGGGGAATAGTTATTTTGAAATTTAAAAATTAATATTAATTTTATGTTTTAATAATGATCCTATGGAATTTTTTTTTTGAATTAGGAAGTATGCCCGAAAAAATAAATTACAAATATACAAGTTTTATAAGTTATGAAAAGAAGTAAATGCACATCTAGTAAACTGATCATTTGAGGAGGAGACTGGTTGAAGATGACAATATGATGCCAAGACCTTGCTTCACAAATGAGTTCACATATTTGTTGCCAAACACAATTTTGGTTAATTTTGAATAGACATAAGGGAAATGATACACTTACTACCAAAAAAGTTTACCACTTTTACAATCAATTTAATCACTGTTGATTTTCGTCAATCTAACGGTTATAATTTATTGAAAATTATTGGATCACATTTATTAATTAATTATTAATTTCCAATAAATTATAACCGTTAAATCGACAGAAATCAACGGTGATTAGATTGATGTAAAAGTGATAAACTTTTTTGGTGGTAAGTATATCCTACACCTAGACATAATAATAAATTTGGTTAGACAACAAAAAATTTATTATAAATTTTTTTTAATATGAAATATAAATTTATATATCTATCTGAATTATGCGATTCATTCAATGATATGTAGGTTAAATCAATGATCCAGTAATGCACCCGAATCCAAGGATTGAGGTTTAATAACATTTATTAACATTTATAAAATAATGTGTAGAAAATATTAAGTATTAATATTAATAATTAAATAAATATGTTAGCGACAGCAGCTGTTTGGTTTTAATTTCGGTTTTGCCCCTGTCCGCTTTTTTTATTTTTATTTTTATTTATAATCATAAACGCTTCATTTATTGAGTTTCTCTTTCTGTTCGTATGCACACTCCAAACTCCAAAGCTTTTGTTGCTTTGTGCTTGATGGAAGGTCCTTGAACTTTTCTTTAGGTTTCACTCACACTCACCCTGTTCGCTTTGCAAAAGCTTGAAATAAGAAGAATAATCCCTCTTCTTCACTCTCTCATCTGCAAAACCAACCTTCTGTTTATATAGGTGAGTCACTGCTTCATTTTTTCTATTTTCTATTTTTTTATTTACGCGATTTTGTTCAGCTCTTTTGCTTGTGCGGGATTCCGAGTGATTTTCTGTTTTTCAGATAGAATGTGTGCCTTGTGGACTTTTTTATTTATTTATTTTTGTATTCTAATTTTTCAGCTATTCATTTACACTCCCTAGCCGGCTCTGGTTTTTGCTACTTTTTTTTTTAATTTTTTTAAAAAAAATGTATTTTGGAAAAGGGTTGTTATGGGGAAGGAAATCAAAGCTGAGCGCTGAAGCGTATGTAAGAGTCCCAACATGTGAAAAAATAAAATAAAATAAAAAGGAGCAAAGAGAAAAGTTAAAAATGGAATGAGAAAAAAGGACGCTTGTTATTGGATTCGTTTTCTTCAATTTTGCAATGTGTTTTTATTTTCATTTATTTTTTGCATAATCCGATTCTAATAAATGTTACTAAAGATTATCGATATACTTAGTTGGCTTCTTTCATGCCCTTTTTCCTTTTGGATGGTTGGTGTTGTAAATAATAGTTTAGAATAGTAGTATACAAGTCCCACATCATGTATATCTCTTTGTATTTTCTTTCTTTTGAGTTATATAATAGACTCTCCGCTGTGTAGTTAAGACATACGGATTACTTATAAATCTTCTTGTTCTTGATATTCAACATGGTATCTAGAGCCTAACAAGATCCGTATCTTTCTGGTAGACCCACTATCTATCGAGTAAAAATCTTCCCGGAAACTGTCACCATCGTCAGTTTCCGGCCACCGTCTGCCACCACCGTCCTCCACCGGAAAAGTTTCCCGGCGACCGTTTTGATCAAAAAGTACATCAACGGTCTCAGAAGAAGCCGATCTACCCAACGCCGCAAGACCCACCGTCATCAGAGGTTGCCAGCGTCGTGGACCACTGTTTGACCGCCGTTGACTGCCACCACCAATCATTTTTCAGGCACTTTTTCCGGCGAGCCACCCACAGTTGTGATCGTCACAAGGAGGCGGTTCTTTCCGTCCAAGGCCCGCTCCTAAATTCCCACTGAAGCATTTCTCCTCTTTCCATTACTGTTTACGACATTTTGTTTCAACGAATTGTTCTTGATCCATGGCTGATTTTAGCTCATTTATCCTTCCTCAAGATATTTCTCGGCTCATGATCACTGGTTCCACTGCTATTGTTGTGCATACAGGTAATAGTGTTGCTGGTTTCACTCAAAGTTCATCATTTAGTCATTGGGTTCTTGATTCTGGTGCCTTTGATCATATTTCTGGTAATAAATCTTTGTTTTCCTCTCTTTCTACCTCTGGTTATTTGCCTGTTGTCATTATGGCTAATGGTTCCCAGGTTCAGTCTCATGGGATTGGAACAATACATCTCTTTCCCTCCATTACTATTGATAATGTGCTCTATGTCCCTGGTTCACACTTTAATCTCCTTTCCATTAGCCGTTTAATACGTTCTCTTGATTGTCTCATTTCTTTTACCCAAAATTCTGTTGTTTTACAGGATCGAAATTCGGGGAGGACAATTGGCGGCGGATTTGAGTCCAAAGGCCTTTACCTGCTCTCCAGCTACTCTCATGCTCATTCTGTATTAGATTCTCCACTCACTATTCATGCTCAGTTGGGTCATCCTAGTCTTACAAAGCTCCAGAAGATGGTACCACGTTTGTCCAAGCTGTCTACTTTGCAATGTGAATCATGTCAATTCGGGAAACATACTCGCAGTTCTTTTCCTAATAGAGTCAATCGTCGTGCCTCCTCTCCTTTTAGTTTGGTTCACTCTGATGTTTGGGGACCCAGTCGTACTGAATCAACTCGGGGTTATAGATATTTTGTTACCTTTATTGACGATTATTCTCGAAACACTTGGTTATTTTTATTGAAAAACCGCTCTGAGTTGTTCTCCATATTTCAGAAGTTTTATCATGAAATTCTTACTCAATTTGGTATTCCTATCCGCACTTTTCGTAGTGATAATGCTCGTGAGTATCTGTCTCAACCATTTCAATCATTCATGGCATCTCACGGCATTCTTCACCACACATCATGTGCGCATACCCCCCAACAAAACGGGGTTGCTGAAAGAAAAAATCGTCATCTTATTGAAACAGCTCGGACACTCTTAATTCATGGGAATGTTCCTACCAGTTTTTGGGGTGATGTTGTTCTCACCGCATGCTATCTCATTAATCGCATGCCTTCCTCTGTCCTTGGTAACCAGGTACCGTACTCTATATTGTTTCCTCATCAGCCTTTACATTCCTTACCCCTTCGTATTTTTGGTTCTACTTGTTTTGTCCATGAACTCGGTCCCAATCGTGACAAGTTGTCTGCCAAATCTCACAAATGTGTGTTCCTCGGTTACACTCGGACACAAAAAGGTTATCGGTGTTACTCTCCCAGTCTCCATCGCTCTTTTGTCTCGGCGGATGTTACTTTCTTTGAGTCTGTGCCATTTTTTGGCTCCACCTCCGTTCCCGATGACTCTGTTGATACTCAGTTACCTTTACCCTCTGTTCCAATTCAATATGTTCCGGCACCAGATTCCACACCACCGCCTGCACCAGATTCCACACCACCAACGCCTACTGTCACTTCTCCATATGTCCCAGCACCAGATCCTCCTCTCCAGGTTTATCACCGTCGGTCACATCCACCCATACCCCAAGACATTGATGAGGTTCCTATGGACTCAGATCTGCCGTCATCAACTCCTGCGGTTTCAGTCCCGCCCTCCGACATTGACCTACCCATTTCTCTCCGAAAATGTACTCGTAATATTCGTCCTCCACCCAGGTATTCAATAAATATGACTTATCATCGCCTTTCTCCATCACATTTTGCTTGTCTTTCTTCTTTGTCTTCTGTATCTGTTCCTAAGACTACAGGTGAGGCATTATCCCATCCCGGATGGCGACAGGCTATGATTGACGAGATGTGTGCACTTCATGGCAGTGGTACTTGGGATCTGGTTCCTTTTCCCTCTGGAAAATCTGCTGTTGGATGTAGATGGATATTTACTGTCAAAGTTGGTCCCGATGGACAGGTGGATCGTCTCAAAGCACGTTTGGTGGCCAAGGGATATACTCAGGTGTTTGGTGAAGATTATGGGGATACATTTTCCCCTGTGGCAAAAATGGCGTCTGTTTGCCTCTTTATTACTATGGCTGCTATTCGTCACTGGCCCCTTTATCAATTGGATATCAAAAATGCTTTCTTCAATGGTGATCTTGCGGAAGAAGTTTATATGGAGCAACCTCCTGGATTTGTTGCTCAGGGGGAGTCCAGTCTAGTTTGTCGACTCCGCAAATCTTTGTATGGTCTCAAACAGTCTCCACAAGCTTGGTTTGAGAGGTTTAGCACCATTGTCCAGCAGTTTGGTATGACTCGGAGTGCGGCTGATCACTCAGTCTTTTATCGCCACTCAGACTCTGGATCTATTTATTTGGTGGTATATGTTGATGACATTGTCATTACAGGTGATGACCATCAAGGCATTACTCAGTTAAAACAACATCTCAGTCATCATTTTCAGACAAAAGATCTCGGAAGACTACGATATTTCTTGGGAATTGAAGTGGCTCAATCCAAGGATGGTATTGTGATATCCCAGAGGAAATATGCTATGGACATTCTAGAGGAGACAGCTTTGTTGAATGCTAAGCCCGTCGATACCCCCATGGATCCAAATGTCAAGCTTATGCCAAATCAGGGGGAGCTATTTTCAGATCCAGAAAGGTATACAAGATTGGTTGGGAAGCTGAACTATCTGACAGTTACTCGACCAGACATCTTATTTGCAGTCAGTGTAGTAAGTCAGTTCTTGAATTCTCCTTGTGAAGATCATTGGAATGCAGTGATCTGTATCCTCAAGTACATCAAGAATGCTCCAGGTAAAGGTCTCCTCTATAAAAACAAAGGTCATACCAGAGTTGAGGGATACTCAGATGCTGATTGGGCAGGTTCCCCCAGTGATAGAAGATCCATATCTGGGTATTGTGTATTCCTTGGAGGTAACTTGGTTTCTTGGAAAAGCAAGAAACAAAGTGTAGTTGCCAGATCAAGTGCTGAAGCAGAATATCGCTCCATGGCCACAACCACCTGTGAACTTATCTGGTTAAAACAACTATTGAAGGAACTCAAATTTGGAGACATTGGCACAACATCTCTCATTTGCGATAATCAAGCTGCTTTACATATTGCTTCCAATCCAGTGTTTCATGAAAGGACCAAACACATTGAGATAGACTGTCATTTTGTTAGAGAAAAAGTCCTCTCTGGAGATATAGTCACTAGTTTTGTTAACTCAAGTGATCAATTAGCTGATGTTTTCACTAAGTCTTTGAGAGGGTCTAGGATAGATCACTTATGTAACAAGCTTGGTGCATATGATTTATATGCTTCAGCTTGAGGGGGAGTGTTGTAAATAATAGTTTAGAATAGTAGTATAAAAGTCCCACATCATGTATATCTCTTTGTATTTTCTTTCTTTTGAGTTATATAATAGACTCTCCGCTGTGTAGTTAAGACACGGATTACTTATAAATCTTCTTGTTCTTGATATTCAACAGTTGGTATTATGATGGATGGTTAGAGGATCACAAATTTTATTTTATTGTAAAAGTTTTGGGTATAACGATGGTTCTTCAGTAAATTAGGGGAGTTATTTACAATTTTACATGTTGTCATGTATATATTTCTGGAATCATTATTTGTGTTTGTTTTCAACTTTCTAATTGCATTACGGCAAGGAAAACTCATGCATAATTTTTAATTTTCTTTTTGTCTTCTCCATAGATGTATTTTCTGCACTCTGCAACAATTTCATGTGTTCATTGCTTTTTGAATTGCCTACTTCTTATTAAACCTGATTAATCTTTTTTAAATCTTTACAAGCCCGAGTGTGAGCCTTGGAGCATCTGTAAAGTTGCTTTTTGTGAACGGAAGGTCACGGTTTTGGGCAGTAAAGTTGTTCTTTGTGATCGGAAAGTCATGGTTTTGAGTCTAGAAAGAGCCTCTTTGCAAAAATGTAAGGGTGAGATTATGTACAATCTACTCTTATCCCTACTTTCACAAGTCGGGGAGGCTTATGCACCGGGATTTTCCCTTTAAAACTTTGCAAGACTGCTTAATGCTTTCATTTCTAGCTAGATGAAATGATGACAATGCTTTTTATTTATGGATTGTAGAGCTCATTTAGCCTTCTTTTGTTGATTTTGTTATTAGCATAGCATTTCTTTCTGGCATTGTGTTGAGTGAATTTTGGTTTTATAATTGTTTTGTGTAAGGAAGTTTGGATATTTGGAGTCTGATGTCTCCACCACTGCTGGTTACCGAAGAGGAAGGGCAGAGCAACACCTCAACAGTAGCATCTGCATCTTCACAGTCCTTGGACTGTTTCTCCCAAAATGAGGCTGGATTGAAAGAACGCAATTACCTTGCATTGTCAGATTGCTCGTCAGTGGACAGTTCTACTGTTCCGAGCTTGTCTGATGAGAAAAAGGAGAACCTGAATTTGAAGGCTACTGAGTTGAGGCTGGGCCTTCCTGGATCCCAGTCACCTGAAAGGGATACAGATCTTTTCTTGTTGAGCTTAGCAAAAATGGATGAGAAACCACTGTTCCCTTTGCTTCCTACAAAAGATGGAATCTGCTCATTGTCCCAGAAAACTGTGGTTTCAGGCAACAAAAGAGGTTTTGCCGACACAATGGATGGGTTACATGAGGTGAAAAGTTCTCCTTTTAACATGGTTCAATGGATTTTTATTCTTGCTCTGAACCTGATTCTCCACAATCCGGGGTGCAGGGGAAGTTTCCTGGTAATTCAGGGATAAACATAATGCTATCTCCTAGACCTGGAGCTCAGCCAACTACAATGAATGAAATACCTAGCAAGGTGTTAGAAGAACGGTCTTGTGCAGCAAATGGAACTGGCCATAACTATACAGGAGCTTCTATCAGTGGTAGTGCACCAGCTTCTAAGTAAGTATAACCTGATAGATCAAGGATCCATACTTTTTAGGAGAATCTAGAAGTTGGAAAAGTAAAAGACCTCAAAAGGGATCTTCAATGTATTTCTAATTATGCTAATTAGTTCTTATCTATGACAGGGCACAAGTTGTTGGTTGGCCTCCGATAAGGTCATTTAGGAAAAACTCATTGGTCACCACTTCAAAGAATAATGATGAAGTAGATGGAAAACCAGGTCCAGGTGCGCTCTTTGTCAAGGTCAGCATGGATGGTGCTCCCTATCTTAGGAAGGTAGACCTACGAAATTACACAACCTACCAGGACCTGTCTTCTGCCCTTGAGAAGATGTTCAGCTGTTTTACCCTAGGTGATCTGTTACAACTTTAATTTATTTTAAGAAATTATTTCTTGCAAATGATTCTTTCAATGAATTTTGTGGTCACTCTTTTTTTTTCATTCTAAAATGTACCTTTGGCATGGGTTTACTACACTTATGGACTATATCAGGTCAATGTGGTTCCCATGGACCGGGAAGAGAAATGTTGAGTGAGAGCAAGCTGAAAGACCTGCTGCATGGTTCAGAATATGTACTCACTTATGAAGATAAAGATGGTGATTGGATGCTTGTAGGAGATGTACCATGGAAGTAAGTTTTTGAACCTTCTATGAGCTTTCTCCATCTTTGTGTTCTCAACTTTTTATTACTTATAATAATTTTATTTGTTTCTAAGACTATATGGCAAGGTGCTTCAGCAAATATATAAAGTCATTATTATTCTTGAATCAATGGCATGTGCAATATGTTGCCAACAACGCCAAGTGTTAACCAATTTCCACCTGAAAAATGATTTTAAGTGTTCTTGGTTGCTAGTTTCTAACCATAGGATGCTGTAGACATGAGAAGATTACTGCATTCCCTGCATGTACAATAGTTTAGAAGAATAGAATAATTACTATAATAATGTTATCTCACCAGTAAATAAGTATTGCTTCCTTGAACACTTTGTCAAACGTATGCTTGTTCAACCTATACAGCAGCTATTGGTATTGATTGTTTTTCAAATTTAAATCATGACAAAAAATCCAAGATATTGTTTATTGGTAATTCCTGAATTTTGGCAGATTTTATGTACTTTACATAGAAGGGTAAGCACCTAGCGTATATAATTAAAAAGTTCAAAATATGATCATAAATCAGTACAAGAATAATTTACAACTGCACTCCTGTATTATATTTTTTCTTCTCCCAAAAAATTCTTCTAATCAGAAAAATAAGTAGAGAATCCTTGTGAATGTATTTTAAAATTTGATACTTCATTGGGATTATAAAAGTATTATGTATGTTATAGATTTGTTTAACAGTTGCAGACTAAGAACTTGTTCATGGCTAGGATTTTGTTGCTAAATTGGATTTTAAGCGTAATTCAGTTTTACTTCCTATTGGAATGTGTTGATGTTCATATTTGTACCTAGGGATCAAGTGTTGCGAATTACTGCTATTTGTACCCAGAAATTGTCAACTGGACGACTAAGAGAATGAAATCATTGACTTTTTCACTTTGCTCTAGATCATGGTGTCCTATTCTTACAACTTTATTTTTTCTTTTATTTGTTTGCAGTATGTTCATTGACACATGCAAAAGGCTGAAAATCATGAAGGGTTCTGATGCCATTGGCTTAGGTATGTATTCTAGGTGATGATCCATTTTATAGTTGTCATTCTTGTCACTGCAAAACTATCACATAAGTTGATGGAATTGGAGCTTCTGCTTTGTATGAGACAGTAGCCGCACAGGGCTAATATCCTGCAGTAGATTATGATCCCAATGCGTTTACTGAGATTATTGAATCTAAGTCAATATGTCAATAGATTTTATATCCTGGAAGGTTGCTTTGTATATATAGGGATAATATAAAAATTTCTACATTGTTAATAGACTGAGAACAAAAACTTCTTGCATTCTTTGAAGGATGATATTGTTTGTTTTATTACTAGATTGTTTTGTGCTTGGTTTTCTATAGATTTTTAAAGACTAGAGATACTGATAAAATATGTTCAAATGAAAAGTATATATTTTTTCTAATAAATACATTTTTTTATAACATTTTTATTGTTTTATTATATTTATATTATGACTAATAATTTAAATGAATTAATAGTAAGGAATGGGAGCTTCAATATCTGGGTTTATCCAGAAAATGAAAAAAACTTTGAATTTAATGATGCAGTTGGATCAAGTTTGCTTGAAACTTGTCACTCAAGGAACCCATGATTGAAAGTGCCTCTGGTTTATATTTGCAATTGGACTATGGATTGCCTTGAGTTTGCTTGTTTCCTTGCAACACAAGAAAACTTTAATTGATAGTGCCTTTGGTTTATGTCTCTCTTTCTCCCTCCCTCTCCCCAGTCAACCAAAGTCTCAGTTCAATTTCAAATATTCGCCACATTGATAATAATGTGCCTCATAACACCAGTTAATATGCTGAAGTTTGCTTAGGATGTTTTTCTTTTCTTCGCAGCGCCCAGGGCCATGGAAAAATCCAAGAGCAGGAGCTAGATGGTAGTGGGACTGTTGTCTTGACAACGTTTTGTTTACTACCACAAAGTTGCCCTGAATAGTGTCTTGGTCTTTGTGTTACATTTGTTATTACTTTATTACCTTATGAAGCTACCTTGAAGATTGGTATTTGTGGAGTCTGTAATCTTTGTAGGAACCTGTTTGTTTGGTGGAGTTGAAGGCCGTTACAATCAGCATATTGTTCTTAGTGATTTGTTATCCCTTAGTTTCCCCCTCTTTTAGCCCTTGAAAAGCATTTTTTTTTCATGCACTCTTTATCAAATTAGTGAGTCTTGTGCTATGACGAGAACTCGTAGAGTTAAGGGTGGGTATGATTCGACCTGAACCGATATTTTTGTCAAACCGAATCTAAGAATTGGTTTTATTTTTTTCGAACTGGTTCATGATTCAAAACTAATTTATGATTCGTAAAGGGTTTAATATTTGTAATTTTAAAGGATATAGAGTTATGTTATTTTAAGTGTAGATACAAGTAATGAAAATTATGTGAGAGAAAGTGGGTGATATTTTTTAAAAAATTAAAAATTAAATACAAAATTATTAGATTGTATGTTTTTCTCACTTAAAATAGCACAATTTTATGTATTTTAAAATAACAAATATTTTTTCTTTTTTGTAAATGGTTTGAACCTATTTGAGTATGTAAATCAGTTTTGAACGGTTTCGAACCGGTTATGATCGTTTGAATTAAAACAAATTAGTTACAGGATATGTTTGAAAGTGTTTTTGTTTTCAAAAACTTTTTGAATATGAATTTTAAAAATTGATTTTGAGAGTAGAAAAATAAAAAAACTTGTTTGAGTGTAGTTAAATTTAAGTTATAAAAAAGTTGTAATTATTTACAAAAATGCCATTAATAAAGTTTCAGAATTACAAATATCTCACCGTAAAGTTATTGTTTTGAGTCTTCAAATTTACGAAATTGCCATTAATGAATGCTGCTATTTACGAAAATGCCACCCTGAAAGCTAAAAAATCAGAAAACTGCATGGGAGAACACCCTTAAGTTGTTTTGGTATTTTAGTTTTTAAAACTAAAAAACAATCATTGTTTTGAAAATCATTTTGCAAAACAATTCTTTCCAAACAGATTTTTTAATTTTTTAGTTTTAAAAATTTAAAAACAGTTTTTGAGAATAGGAATCAATCAGGGCCTAGCTTTTCAAACGAGTTCTTTTGGTTCGGTTCAACATTTAAAGCAAGGGTTCGGTGTTTGTCATTTTAAATGATATAAGTTATGTCATTTTAGGAGAGACATAGACACAGAAAAATGAAAATCATGGGAGAGAGAAAGTGAGTGATTTTTTTAATTTAAAATTTAAATAAATTTTTTTTCTGTGTTTGCCTCTCTCTTAAAAGGACAGAGTATTATATCATTTAAAATGACAAACACTACAACAATTTATAAAATCAGTTGGGTTCACAAACTAATTCAGAAAAATGTAGGATGTGTTTGAAAGTGTTTTAGTTTTTTTGTTTTCAAAAACTGTTTTGAATATGAATTTTAAAAACTGATTTTGAGAGTAAAAAAACAAAAAAACTTGTTTGAGTGTAGTTAAATTAAAGTTATAAAGAAGTTGTAGTTATTTACAAAAATGTCATTAATGAAGTTTTAAAATTACAAAAATGCCAATATAAAGTAATTGTTTTTGCTCCTGAATTTACGAAATTGCCATTAATGAATCTTGAAATTTACAAAGTTGCCACCGCCTAAACAAAAAAAAATCAAAAACTCCACGGGAGAACATCGCCAGGTTGTTTTCGTTTTTTGGTTTTTAAAACTGAAAAAGAATCATTGTTTTGAGAAGCATTTTGCAAAAGAATCATTTCCAAACAGATTTTTTTGTTTTTTTGTTTTACAAACTTAAAAACTGTTTTTCAGAATTGAAATCAAAACACGTAGTTCCTTTTGGTTATTTTGCCTAGTTCTGCATAGAGCAAGGGTCACTTTGGGCTGTGTCAGTTATTTGGATGACCCGATGTTAGTATTATATTCTCTTTTACTAAAAAAGATTTTTTTTTTCATTTTAACCCATTTTTTTATATAATTCCTTTTAAGTTCCAATTTTTTTTTTCCCATTTAATATGGATGTATCTATATCTGTTGCACCAAAAGTTTTCTCCACTCTAGGATTTTACTTTGCATGTTGGCAAAATATGCTGTCTGATAATGGTGATTGTCGTCTTCCAAAAAAGATGATAGTGATTGTGATCTTGAGGCTAATTGAGAACGTATTGACTATGAGGACTAGAAAATGGTTGACACATGAACAGGTTATCTTTTTGAATTTTCTGCTAGAACAAATCTTTTTTCTCGGGAAAGTCTCAGCACATTGTACAGCGAGATTTATGTACTGTTTTTACAGAAGTTTCTCACAAAATTAAGCATTTAGATTTTTTCATTCATCATTTTTCCATATAAGTAAAACTTTTGGGCCACTCTTTTGCATTTTTGGGAAGTTTGTATAAAAGGATAAGTTATCGAAAGATCTTCGTCTTGCCATTCGATGTATGCCAGCATGAATTTTAAATATATAGAGGTTATTTGAAAATCAACTATATCCAATTCAATATTGATAGGCACGTATTTATATATAATCCAAATCCATGAAATTTACAAGGCACTAGGAGGAGGGCCTTGTGTTTTACTGCGCTGAAATTTATAGCCGTATTTATTAAACTTGTGCAATGTGGGAATAGTATATTAAATATCAATGTGGGTATAATATTTATTATTAGTTGGCTGCCAGGGAACTAAGCAAGCAGAGGTGAGAGCATGTGTTCGATTCTTTTCAATATCATCTTTGGGAGGGGTTTAAAGCCTTAATCCCGATACTCGCCCCGAATTGAACTAGTCACGAAAGGATGAACCGATTGAAATATCTCCAAAAAAAGAAAGAAATATTTATCATTATTTAAGAGTTTAAAAATATGCAAAAGAAAAAAGTTAAAGATTTAATAATACCGAAGGAATTTGTCTTGCAGTATTTCTCTTCAAACTCCTGCTTTCTATTTTCTTAGGGAATGAAATTATTACAATTCTTGTTAGATCTAATAATTGTTAGTTAAACATAATTATAAATTTAGAATGCATATTATGATTCAACCTTTTGTAAAGGCAGATAAATATAATATAATTTGATATTTTACATGTTTAATTTTTTCTTTTATTTCAATATCTATCATTGGAATATACCATGATTCAAGAAAAGTATAGGGCCCGTTTGATGGACAAGATATCTTGTTTTTATCCATTATTTGGTGAACCTACAAGATATGATAAACTTGTCGTATTGGCTCATTTTATCATATCTGCAACAAGATAAGTTATCCTAAGGGGTGACTCGAGTTAGTAATGGACATGATATGATAGCAAATGTCACATCCCTCTCATCCTAAATATACCCCTATGCTCTTCCCCTATGAATATTTCTGGGCACACGAGGGTCAGCCCTTGCACCAATCAGCCACCACCATCATCGCTGCGGGTCATCAGCCACCTCTACCAACCACTAATGCCACCATCATTTCCAACTATCACCGTGAGCTACCAGCTACTACAATAACCCAAATAATTAAATTAAGTAATTTAGAATTATTTAATGGTTAAAAGAGATTGATTATATGAAGAATCTAATTTTTCTAATTTAAGTCACTTTTCAGGGCAAAAGTGCAAATAGTGAAAATTTTGGGGTAAAAATGTAATTAAGTAAAAGTTACCTGAAACTTGATGTAGTGGGAAACTATTTATGATTTTATGAGCTCAGAAGCACATGTTAGAAATGTTAAATTAATGAGTAGAAATGAATTATGAAAGAAGGGCAAATGAGTAAATAGCCAAGTTGATATATTTGACTTTAGCCAAATTATGATTAAAACACTTAAGCATCATCATTTTTCACAAAAACACCATCTCCATCGAAATTTCTCTTCTTCCTTAGCCGACTCTACCATTTTCAAATGCTTGAAAAACCCATTTGAGTTGTAATCATGGAAATGAATAATTTCCTTCATGAGAGTTGTGTAGTTTTCCACTAGGAGTAAAGCCTATATATTAGTTTCAAGTTAGAAGTCTTGTGGAAGGAGAAAATCCCTTTCAAAGTTTATGGAAATCTTTGGATTTTGAAGAGGGAAGAGTGCTCCAACTCTTTGAAGCTTGTAAAGTCCTCCTCTTATCATTCTAAGGAGCTTTATGGTAAGAAAATCTAACTTCCTTTAAGTCTTCATGGAGTTTCAATAAATCTAGTTTTTTGGAGAAATACGAGCTTTGTTATTCATGAATTTGAGATTGATTTTGATAGTGATTTCTATGTTTATTAATGATGTAGTGTTGAACCAAGTGATATCTTGGTGGAAGACCAACCCTTGGAGCTTTTCATTGGTTAAGGCTTGAATTCTTGATTTTCAAGAATAGGGTAAGATATGGAATATGTATTTATGGTGGAATTCTATACATTAGATTGATGTTTCATGTGTACTATGTACTAATGATCATATTCACACTTTTAGAATAGGTTGTCATAGTGAGAAATTTGGTGATTTGTCTCTTGGATATAGAGAAAGCATTAAAAAGAAATCTACAAAAGTTAAACTTCTGGACCTTAGGGTTAATCCCCTTTGTTGTTCCACTATACTCCATTTGAGTAATGGTTGATGTGAATGATTGTGCATTGTAGTATTAGAATATAATATAATGCATTGATTCAGAAATGATGAATAATGTGATGATTGAGAAATGATGAATGCTGTGATGATTGAGAAATGATGAATAATGTGATGATTGAGAAATGATGAATGATATGAATGAATGATTGAATATTTCTCTGTCCAGTAGAATATATTTATGTATATGCGTATGGTGTTTCCTTGGAGCCATCCATATGAGGAACTCTTTGTGATTAACACCTAAGAGAAATAGCCCTTTGAGGATCTCTCTTGAAAGTACCATACTATAACACCTCGTAGTTTTAAAACATATAATTATAGTTAAAATAAGAACTAAAGGGCAGGATTAGTGAAAATCCTAAGTTCAGGGTCAAAATACGTAAAAAGGGTAAAACGATAATTTGACAAACACATAATCCTAAAAAATAAAATATTAGTAGAAGGCCTCAAATGGAAAAAGATAACCCTGGAAATGGATTCAGAATGAAAAATTGAGTGGTTAGGCAAGTTTCTGGAAATTTGATGAATAGTATTTTTACCAGGTAAAAATTCAGCGGTACAATTGCACCGAAAAGCACGCCAAGTAAAA